ATTCAATTTTAAATCAATTGAAATTCAATGTTGCTTTTAAAAATTAAGAGTTTAATAAAAAAAAAAATCTCCGAAAATTTCGTATAAAGTAATGGTTAAAAATCACTTCTTTAACTTTTTGTAACTCATGAGTAATCATTATCCTCTTAATACATCTGTTTAGAAGTCACGAGTAACTACTCATAACTTACGTTTTATATTTGAAAGCTATCAGGATGAAGAGTCATAATAATTATTCCTGTAACACCTTTTCAACTTAAGAGACAAATCTTCACTATTGTGAGACTCTTTTTATTCCACAATATCACAAACAACACTAAATGTGCTCACGTATCCATTATAAGAAAATTATATATATATGTATGGATTAGTGTAATAATTATGAACTAAACTGTTATATATTATGGTATGTTTGGTTGGCTGATCACAAAAAAAAAAAAAAAATAACATATTTAATTTGAGAGAAATAGAGAAAAAGTGATAAGAGAAGAACAAAAATTTGTCTAATTAAATTAAGATGTTAGCTTCTTTTTTCATGTCCTCTCCGTATCCCTCAAACTATCCACATGTAGTTTGAATAATTCATATGAAATAACTTGTTCATTGACATTTCTAAGTAATAAAGATAAATTATCTAAATTGGGTTTTTAAGTTTAATAGTTCGCTCTCAAGTTTTAAAGTGTTTGAATTTATTGGTTGTGGTTTTGACCCCTATCAATACCTTGGAAAAAGTCATCTCTCCTTTAAATTGTAAACTATTAAAAAAAAAAAAAAAACTATCCACATCAATTAAAAATATTTATAAAAATTATCTCTTTATTAACCTCTCTAATAAAACAAACTCTGATATATGAATAAAGTGAGGGATGAACCCCTTCTCAACAAGCTACCACCAGTGAAAAAAAAAAAAAAAAGCTACCACCACTTAGTAGGAGAATGGTAATCTATAGAGTTTATGTTTCCTTCACATGGTTCAGTATACTACGACATTCTTTGCTGTTTTTAGCTATTCATTGCTTTAGTTAATACAGTTTTTTATTTAATAAAAAAATTAAGAGCGCATTCACGCAATTAACATTTTAAAAAAATATTAATCTAAATGAATTTCTACCCAAAAAAAACAAAACAAAAAGAAACTATTTGAATATAATGATTGTTGGTTTTTTTTTTTTTTTTTTTTTTAATATCAAGAAACACAAACTTTTTAAAGAACCCACTAGGTGAAATTTGAAATTTGAAATAGAAGAATTTAGTCAAAGATCATATATGTGATTAATATAGAATTGTCCAGGGAAAGTACCTATTTGAAGATTGTGAAAGCTTATCAAGAGGTGAAAGGGAAGGCATGTGCATAGCATAAGATGAAGACAAAAAAGTGGTGTGTAGGTGTGGGGTGGGTTAGATTAGATTATTATTGAAATATCACATCCAGGAGAGAAGGAAAATGCAAGTGAGTTTTGTAGTGTTAGTAGGGGTTTCGATCGGGTGCATGATTGAGATTTGAGAGGCGCCTGTTTTGGGATATTGTTAATGTTCTTGTCTGCCTTAATTCAAAATGGAAAATATGGGGTGGTCAGGTCCCTTTCCTTTCAAGGGGTGTTTACCAAAGGCTATTGAAGTCTTAAGAGTTTGGTAATTTGAATGTTCGGTAAATGTACTCTCTGTTTTACTGAACAATATTTGGTTATTTTGGGGGTTTAATGAGAGTTAATTTCTTACTTTGTATATGTAATGTAGTTATACCCGTCCTCTATAGATATATAATCAATTAAAAATTATCTTGCAATTAAGATGTAATGTAGTTTTTGTGTTTGATATGAATAAATTATATTTAATTAAATTAGAGAGAAAATTAGTTTCGATGGAAATGAATTGATTTAACATTATGTGATATACTGATAAAGTTATCTATATTATTAATTTGAAATTTAGCATCAATTCTTAATTTCTACTTATAGTTTTGTTGTCCATCGAAGGGTATCATTGTCAAAGTTTGTGCAGTGGAGTCCAATCTATTGAACATAAAAGCGGAGTACCTTGCTCTCTAAATTGGTGTCTCAACATATAAAAGTTTAAAACTCAAAATTTGAAGTCTCAAATTCCAATCTTAAAATGGATATGGAAAGATTTAAAAGATGAAATGAGTGTCTCATATTGCCCCCTCTTATACCATAAAACATAAAACCAGAATACCAGTGACTTTACTTGCACAAAAGATTACAGAAGTTGTGTATTTCCACCCTAAGGTAGAAATGAAGACTCAAATGGGTTCGGTCCAAATCAAGTAAAACTAACTGGGTATCGAAATAGATCCCTATCCACTTGATATTTGACCTTTTACCTTCGCATACTCAAAAAATAGGCACAAGATAGCTGGGGGGCATAAGCCCTCAAGAAATTTGTTCTTATCATACTTCAAAGGAAAAACGAGTGCCATTGAGAATGTTTGGCCTAGCTGTATTTTTGCACAAGTACCATCTGATTAGAGCTTTATTGGCATGTTTAAAATTTATACAAGAAAAGTGACGATTTATGTTTTGTAGATCCATACCAAAGAAATACAAGTTACCCGAATATCAGTCAGTTTCATCACAGCACCAATAAAACCAATATGCCATTGAAAAGCAAACTCTTAACGTTTCGTGTATGCAAAGATGATAAATCAACATTGGGATTTTATTGAATCAATGCCAACAAAATCAATAAGCCAAGAATCTGTGACATATAGTAGTAAATAAGATAGAAAAATCAACCACATAAATAGTACAACAGAGGTATCTAAAGAGTCAAATTTATAGCAATAATGATGTTAACAATGTTAGAAATGCTAACCCCATCAGTGATGGACCTATAGAGGAAGAAGAAGAAGAAACTATCTGAATTAAGAAATTGCAGCTCCCTGTTGAAAGATTCTGTGTAGTAACTGTGGCCAGACCTTGAAAATTACAGGCCAAATCACCCTGATTCTGGACCTGGTAGTACATATTAAATGCAAAGGAAGCATTTCCATTAGTATCCAAGCCGTTGCAGGAAGACCCATATTCAAGTGCTGTGCAATCTGAGTTCTCGCAAGCAAATTGAATGTTATCTGGGAGCTTGCTCAGGTCCTTGGCATTTGGATTAAGCATGCACCATTTCTGAGGAAGATATTGCACATTCTGTGCACCAATAAGGAGCTTGTTTTGACCCTGACCAGAAAGATCTATGCCGAATTTAGGCTGTCCATCATACCTAAAGATTCCCCAATGACGCTCAAAACTTCCTGGAGCAATGCTCTTGGCATCCTCATCAAGAAGACTGAACAAATAAACTTCTATAGATCCAGGCCTTAGTGGGGTGCCTCTATTGGCTGCAAGTCTAGGTAAGAGCCCGTTATAAAATCTATAAGCATTACCTATATTAGCATTCTTGTCCCCATCTGTTGGCCAACCAACCTCCCCCACCAAAATGGTTATGTCCCCATGCCCTACGCTTTTCAAAGCTGAAACCAAGGTGTCAAAGTTGGCATCAAAAACATTGGTGTATTGAATCCCATTATCAACAATCGGGGTTGCTCCATCAAAGAAAGCATAATCAAAAGGGAAGTTGTCATTTTCATGGAGACTGAGGAAAGGATAGATATTAACAGTGAAAGGTGCATTATTCTGAGCAAGAAAGTTGACAATCTGGGTCAAAATTCCACTGATATCATTTCTGAACTGTCCAGCAGATGGAACATTGTTGCTAGCAGGGGAATTATAGACATCAGCATTTAAGGGTACTGTAGCCTTGATGGAGTCTCCAACTCCGGCTTCATTAAGTGCATTTTGAATGTTCTGAAGAGCTGGGAATGTGATGTTTATGAATGATCCATTGTAGGAACTCAGGAAAGGTTCATTCCCAACTGCCACATATCTGTGAAAAGTTAAACCCGTGGTAAGATACAGGTTATCTTAGTTCGAAGAAACATTCTTAGCTAATCCACTGGAGGTAATTTGAAACTCTATAGGAATAAGAACAGTACACTGTACAAACTATAAACTGAACAACATACAGAGATCCCTTAACTAGATTGCATGAAAATTAATGGTTGAATTGAGAAATAGGAGTGACTTATTCCCTAGTTTAACTACTGGCACAAATTAACAGAAGAAACAACATCTGACAGTAATCTTTCTGTGATAGCTCCTCTATAGAACATGCCTAGAATATTCATTCAATGAGAAGTTGAGAAAACTTGTCAAAAATCGGGCAACAAGGTTTTCAGTTAATTTTCTTTTGGCCCTTCAAAAACCTCTAGAGAACTTTTTGATTCACCATGATCAAGTTTATCAAACTTTAAGTTATTAATCGAACCACAACAGGCTTCTTAAAAATATGCTCCTTCACCTTATAATCTAAAAAGCCAAGAAAGCTGCCAAGACAAGAGATCAAAATGTAAACCATTAAGTCAAGAATGTCATGGTTGTTGGATATGTTTAAGAATTCTTTTTCTGAAATAGTTAGGTTTTCTTGTATTTTTGAAGGCAGTTATTCATTTTTCTTCTGATTTTTTTTTTTTAAATAAAAATTATAACTATCATCTTCATAGCAAATTTCTAAGACTTTTTAATATATGAATCCGTTGACTTAACATAAGAATGTGATTATAAACATAATCGTGACAGGGAAAAACACAACCCAATGTTAGGGGAAAACGTTAAATTAATAGATAGAATACTATAAGAAAAAAGAAAGAAAGAAAAAATTCAAAGAAAGCTTTAAATTTGTAGCCAAGAATCAAAGCTTGTCTTGCATTTAATTAAGAGATCTTTAAACATCACAATTCCTAATTAATCAAATCTGTAAAAGGTTCATAATCCTTTCTTTTATAAACACTTTACTTAAATCCTAAATGTTCTCAATGTTTGAAATAGTCCATAAAATTCAAATTCTAAAAAAAAATTCTAATAATAAAAATTTAAGGGATCTTATTTAACATTTGTCAAAAGTTCAGGGGGGTGGCTGCCCCCCTTGTCATGTGCTAGCTCCATCCCTGCATTGATTCTAAAATTGCAAAAGTTTCCAGTTGTTGTCCATCAACCTGATTGAAATAAAGCCGTGGAAGAAAAGCAACAATGCTAAGAATCTGATGCTAACTGATGATCTCGTTTTTATACAAAGGAGAATCAAAGTTGGCCAAAACAAAGTTGGAACCCTGTGGCCAGATACAACAAAATCTTTTCCAAAAAGTTAATGATACATGAATGTCCCTTGTCAAATGCAGCAAAAAAGAAATTCTTGAAATTTTTTATTTAAACAGAAGCAAAAATCGAGGACAATGGAAAATAATTTTTTCAAGACTAATAATAGAAGAATCACGACCACATTGGAATGTGGGATCAATTACCAATTAGGAATGCCTAACCACTATCAGAAGCAAGATTCAGAAATCAAGTCAGTCAACTAATAAGCAACTCCCGACTTGTTCATCAGACACTTTGAGGTATTCCAATGCAAGAAATGAGAACAAAGAAGCTCAATTAAAATTTGTGCTGTGCTGATAGAACTTCTCTAATGAAGGCGTCTGAACAAATATTGGCAATTACATAAACAATTAAGGCCAAGGAGAAAGAAGGTTCTTTCCATACAAAGGAATAACTTGGACACAATAAATCGTCTTATTTGAGGCTAAATCCTCCACAGCCTCTTAGATTTCAAGCATAAAATAATCTGGTTCAAGAAATTGGCTACTTAGGTATAAATCATCTTATCTGAGGCTAAATCCTCCAAGCCTCTTAGAATTCAATATCAAACAATCTGGTTCAAGAAATTGGCTCCTTAGGTATCGTACTTTACAACAAAAAGACAAACGAATTAGAGATATATGTGTTCATTTAAAAAAACATATAAGAACTTGACACCCAATACTCCAGCAGATGAAAAGGCAAAACAGAAAAGAACAATTGAAACTTACTTGATGTTAACTCCTCCATTGAAATTGTAACGTGTGACATTCTTGTTCACCCACTGCTTAGCACGGTTATAATCATTCATTACCGCAAGCTGATCATTAGGAATAGCAATCATGACCTCAATATCACTGCCTGTAAGAGCACTCATGGTGCTTAAATCTGCATCAAACAGCTTCACTTTCTTTATCCCATTATCTTTCAACATCTGCACCACAGTCTTTGGTGGCAGTTTGTGTGAAGCCATTGTGCCCCAATTCACACCTAGACCATCAACAACAACACAATAACACAGACAACCCAGCAATCCAATCAGCCAAAGATGCCTCATTAGATACCCAGAAGTTCCCGTCTTTCTGTTTGATGGGCTTATGTAATGGAGTTTCCTAAGAAAGAAAAGAGTTAAAGTAACAAGATAAAATAAAAGCAAATAAAAGCTACAGTTATGGTTTTATGAAGGGCAAAGTCACGGTTTTTTGCAGGTAGGGCCAGAAATCAACCAAAACAAGAGATCTTCGCAGGAGAAAATAAGAAAAATAAAAAGAATCCAATGACTCAATCTAAACGGAAAGAGAATGAAAAGAAATCAAACGGAAAAGATAGTGAATTGATTCGATCCAGAACAAGGGTTTGGAGAAAAGATCAAACTCGGTATAAAGATGGAAAACTAACATATTAAAAACAATCATAGGAAAACCACCCCCTACGAAACAGGGCAGGGGTAACGAAAGAAAATCAACCAAAAACTGACAAACAAAAACAACCCACTGGTTTTCTTTTGATTATGGGATAGAATGTGAATACTAAAAAGGGGCATTGAAAATAATAGAGAGGGGCCTGATACAAGTAGAGAGCAAGAAGACAGATTTTGAAAAAGGTGATTGTGAAAGAGAAAAAATTGATATCCAATTGATTTAAGAAAAAGCCCCACTACAGAAAGATATCAAATTTTGTAAGAGAACATCTTTCTCGTGACGGGAATGTCAAAAACTGGGGCTTTTGAAGGGGTTCTTAACGGCTATGAATGAGTCCTGACAAAATTTCTTGACGATGATTCCAAGATGAAGAGAGAAAGATAATATAAAAAGAAAAGTGTTTAAAAAGAGGTTAACGTAGAATAGGTTGGA